AAGTCAACATTATCGGATGTGGACCTCCAACCATCTTTGTGATACCATTTGAAAAGTGACATATTAATTGTATTCACATTTTAGTGTTTATCAGCCAAAACATGACACCCTCCCTGTATTCAAGAGCATGCTGTGTCTAAACCGATGGTGGGCACAAAACAAACCCCTCTGATGATGTAATATTGGGTCTAAGCCATGACAGACTGACTAGGATCCCTTAATGATGTCACTTGTTAAATCCACTTAAAATCAGTGTAGATGAAGGGGAGGAGACAGGTTAAAGAAGGATTTTTAAGTCTTGAGACATGGATTATGTATGTGTGCCAATCGGAGGGTGAATGGGCAAGACAAAAGTTAAGTGATTTAAGTGCCTTTGAATGGGATATGGTTATAGGTGCCAGGCGCACCGGTATGAGTGTCAAGAACTGCAACACTGCTGGGTTTTCACGTTCAACAGTTTCCCGTGTGCATCAAGAATGGTCCACCACCCAAAGGACATCCAGCCAACTTGACAACTGTGGGAAGCATTGGAGTCAATATCGGCCAGCATCTCTGTGGAACTCGACACCTTGTAGAGTCCATGCCCCAATGAATTGAGGGTGTTCTGAAGGCAAAAAGGGGTGCAACTCAATATTAGGAAGGTGTTCCTAATATTTTGTACACTGTGCATATGAACATTTAAAAAAGTTTACGCATTTTCAGAAGTTACACATTTTTAGCTAATTGACGCTAAAGGTTCAAATATGACAATTTTAATGAAAACTTTTTTCAATAAACTAGAAAATAGTTTGACAACCTTGTTTGTAAGCTTTCAAATGATTTCAAACTCAACCATTTATCTTTTTCAGTAATGAAGACATGACTGTCTCATGGTAGGGTGGGGTATGCAAAATGGGTCAACTTTGATTACCTTTAACTCCTGAATGTTTTGGCATTCAGGTCCAACATGTCACTTTCTGACCACTTCTACTTTGGGCAAATGTATGGAAGGTTTCGTTCAAATCAAAAGAAGTGCAGTCAAAAAGTGATTAAAATCATATGATACGACCCATACACTAGTTCAATACAAAACAACCACAGTTTATCCTCAAAGTATTTATTACAAAAATACACTGGCAAAGTCATGACATAATACTGCCTATGATGGACAAAATAAATAGCAAGCATCGCTGTGGCCTACGGAGCGAATCCACATTGAACTTGAAATAAGGTAAGCACTGAACAGCGTTAACAGTGTAAAAGTGAGAGATTTCACCTCTCCTTTGGCTTGAAACGCATGCAGTTCAGTGTACTTTAAGTTAAACACAAACACATTACAGCCAATTAAAAAGCACACCCATTTTCCCAGATTTTAGCAAATGTGTTTCTTTTTTTGAAAGATTTTTTGACTTAGTGTTTTTCCTTTACAAATTATTTAAAAAATAGATTATTAAAAAATGTCTGTTTGCAATACTAGAGTATTTCAACTAATTATGTACAGACCCATACCATTGGGCACAGATGTTAATTCAACATCTATTCCACGTTGGTTCAATGTAATTTCATTGAAATTATGTGGAAACAACGTTGGTTCAACCAGTGTGTGCCCAATGGGATATTACAGTACCAAGTGTTTGGATACAGCACAGAGCAATGGGTGGTGTGTTACGGAGGCTATTCAGCTTTGACTGAATAACACCCACAACCTCCTTGGAACATCATTCTGAACAGATGGGCGCACAACAGCACCCACTGGTAGACATAGCCTATAACAAATAGCTAGCTAATGACTACTAGAGAGACTCTCTTAGAGACTCAAATCAAAAGGCACACACGTTGACAGGATGAGCAAAAATAGAACACTACCATTTCTTTGAAAATTCAGTATTGACAGTTAGCCATCACATGGCACCCTGTAGTTGAATTAGTAGGGACCTGGGGATAAGGGTTGGTTAGTCAACAAAGAACATGTCCAAATCATCCACATCAGACGTCACATACCCGATAAGAACTTTTCCCTCCCACTCAGGTTCTCATGTCAGTTCGTAGACTAATTGCTGAAATGAAAGCCGGGGGGAGACAGTGGTAGACTCACACGGATGAGTCTCCATCTGAAATTTAACATTTCCAAATCAAATAGACAAATACGGAGTATAGGAGATTAACAAGCATGGTAGTATACCTAATTGAGTATACAATCTTGCCAGCAGACCGGACATAAGCTACTGAACAAATGTATTAGCACAATTGAGACATGGATTGTGCATGTGTGCCATTCAGAGGGTGAATGGGCAAGACAAAATATGTAAGTGCCTTTGAACAGGGTATGGTAGTAGGTGCCAGGCGCACCGGTTTGAGTGTCAAGAACTGCAACGCTGCTGTGTTTTTCACGCTCAACACTCATAAGATGAACAGATTTAGTCCTGGATATAAGGTTTCAAGTTCCTACATGTGACAATGTAAATATTGAACAAACAAACAAAAGCTAAGCCCTCCAGAAATAATAAACTGGCTTCACAAATGACACATTTAGCCAACTCCGCATGGGTAAAATGAACATTAAAATAACCTGAAGCTTTCCCACAAGAAATACAATGTCAGATCTATCCAAAACTATTTGCACATCTGACCCCAAAACCACCGATCAATTCAGTTAGGCCCATAGTCAGTTCCCTTTCCCACTGTATCCCCTCTGTATGGTCTGCCAAGGTAAGAAGATTATTAGGCTCTCAGAAAGATACAGTAAGAAGCTGCACTACAGTACGTCCACTAATAGAATATAATCATGTAAAGCTGCTGTTATAAACCTTGATAGATTATACGTAGCAGAAAGTGGCCTATGATCAGCATGAGGTTCTCCTTGGTTGTCTCTTGCTTTAATTCACTGAACCACTCTTTAAAATGCAAACTATGTAAATGAGGGTGAGGGAATTAAGTGTGGTTTAAATGCAGACTGTGTCACTGTCTTCCTGACACTAGTACTTTGAATTGTAAATTAACGTGAAACAATAATAATCTGCCATTAGAATTAGAATTTCAGCGGGCAGAAGATAACGATTTAATTTATTTGATACATTGAGCTACACAAATGCAATCCAGAAATCCCATGAATTATGGATATTTCATTCGATCATCATTTCCTACACCTATCTGTCTACATAAAAACAGTAAGGGCATGCAAATGATTACCAAGTCACCACTCTGCATACCAAGCATGTTTAGTGTGAAACTAAATGGAAAGGTGAGTGAAGTTTGGAAATACATTAGCAGAGGTAGTCAAACGGAAACACATATTCAATGTCAGTCTACAGTAGCCTATAGGCCTATCACTTGAAAAGCTGTTCATATATCAACCTCTACTGTTGGTCAATACAGCACAGATTAGAGATGGGCTACTAATGAACCTGCTATTCCTTTGTTCTCATAAAGGTTTGGTATACTAACACTTCAATCTGTGCTAGGATGTCAATCACTCCATCTATCCATTATCTGCAAGTGCTAGGCCTATATGGAGAAACTTTGGAAATTGCTTAACATATTCAAGTGATAAACTTGCCAATTATTTAGCTAAAACATGAATCTAGAAATGATTATCATAATCAGAACAGTAATACTTTCACTAAAGTAACTACAAGTATCCTAAGCTAAACACAGTTGGGTGTTGGCTGCAATCAAAGTTCAATGATTGTCCATTTACCATCTCTCCACCATAACACCTGGGTCTAATACGACCACTAAAATGCACCATAATTTACTGATCATACCTTAAAAATTCCTCCCTAACCTCTTTCTGCCTCAAGAAGCCTTGATGCTGTGGTGAATGTTGGTAAAACAACAACTTGTTAATAGTATATCTATCCTACAGCTTTAGGAAACCACCCTCAAGTGACCCATCATTACCATAACGTAGCAGAGGTCCAATAGGTCAAAATAGCATCAAACAGTGAACAAAACAACGCTTCTCCTTTGCTTCAACATAACGGAAACCAACATGCATAGGCCTACATTGATACATATTATTAACCAGCCTGGTCTCATAGACTAGACGTAACATAGTAAATGTAAATCCAGGACACTCAAATTAGTATGATATGTTACATTTTGTATGGTATTTATTAATTTGTGAAGTCAATCATCCATTTCGTATGATATGTTACGAATTACAATTCGTATATTTTACGAATTTACAAAATGTACAATGTTACGAATTTGCAAGACGTACAATACGTAACGTTAGCCACCTAGCTAGAATTCATAACATATCATACATTTTGCAAATTCGTAACATATTGTATGTTTTGCAAATTCGTAACAGCTAACATTAGCCACCTATCTAGAATTCGTAACATAGCATACGTTTGGCAAATTCAGAACATATAATACGAATTGTAATTCGTAACATATCACACGAAATGGGTGATGACTTCCACTAATTAATACACCACACGAAACGTAACATATCATACTAAATCGATTGTTTCAGATTTACATACAGAATAATACGAACAGCTCTGAGACCAGGTTGTATTAACCCATATTGAATATAGCTATGAAGAACACAACATGCAACTAGATGGCATCTCTGTATAGCCTAGTGCAGGTGCCACAGAAACTATAAATGTGAAGGATTAAATATATTAAATTATATTACAGTATTTCAATAGAAAAGCTGCCATGTGGTCAATATATGATTGCTGAGGAAATTGGACTGAGCTCCATTTGTAAATACGGATATGCGTGTTTGCTGAGGTATTAAATGTGTCTGAACTAATGTTCAGGTATAACATTCTACTGCAATGCCTTGAAATTGGAGTTTTCCAATTTCCATTTTTCTGTATGTCTGAGTTCCAACTGATACACTTTTTGTAACCTTCTGTTAAGTACCGGTACATAAAATTAAGAACCAGAAAACAAGATGCCTGGTACATTACTTCCCTGTTAAGTCAGACTCAGTGTGAGTGAGGGGGTAGGTTCCTGGCTCTCTGTTGGGGTAAAGGGAGGGGTGGGGGGTAAATGCTGTCTCACTGTGCTGTGCTGCCCTCTGCTGGTTGGGCTGCTCCCTGCTGCTGCTGCTCCTTGTTCAGGATGATGCTGATGATGTCTCCCTCATGTTCCTTCATGTGCTCCATCAGTCTCTCCTTGCTGGTAGACTCAAAGCCACATATACAGCAACAGAACAGCAGTACACAATACTCCATGCCGGCCCGGGACTGAACCCCCTCCTTCCCTGGGGGGCTGTGCTGGGGGGTGTCGCGCTGGGGGGCCTGCTCTCTGGAGGACCACTGGATGAGCTCTGTTGATGACCCTGAGCCGCCACCACCTCCCACACTGTCCACAGGGACCCATGCTAGAGGGGCTGGGTCCACCGAGACCCTCTCCTTCTCCTTCCCACCCTGCACCACACCAGACTGCTCTGCCACTGCCTCCCCCACTGCTGAAACCTTCTGAGGGGCACTGGGGGAACTACAGCCAGGGAGAGAGAGAGAGCAGGCTCACCATCAAGACAGAGATATGACCCTACACATCACTGTTCACTGGGACCCAAACATAGGCTTCAGTCTGACTAGAAGCTTTTCAGATGGTAAAGGTAGACCGTTAAAACTCCAACCCCCATCACCCCCATACTCACCGGCTGCTCTGGGAGATGGCCTCGTTGATGGCCTTGTTCACCTGCTCGTAGTTGTAGTTCTGATCGCCAGCGTGCTTCCACATGTGAGACTTAAGGGACGGAGGGTGACTGCACACATAGCCACACAGTGAACACCTGAAAACGAAAGGAGTAAGTGAGAGGGGGAAAGAGGGAGGGAGAGGAAGAGAAAAGAAAGGGATCAAGTCTCTGTAGCAGAAGCAGCTGATTTAATATGCTGGTTGGGGTTCCCTTTAATCCCCTCAACTCCATTATATCAAAAGGGATCAGCTCCACTAAAGACTCCTCAGGGAGAGACCTAGTGGCACACATGCTCTGATACTGCTTATCTGTAATGCTCTATATTATGCTCCAGCCAACTCTGTATACCCAGACATCCTCCATATCTACACTAAAAGGAGAGTTCATTAGGAGTTCTTTCGATGATATGGGTTCTTCTTACACTTCAGTTGTTTCCTCCATCCCCACACTCTTTGGAAGAGCATAGGCCTACTTTCTCTACCTCTCCCACTCCCCAGCCCAGGTCTCCCCTCTCTGAACCCGAACCCGAGCTGGTCCTCACCTGTACTGCTCCAGAAGCTGAACCCTGACTTCTAACCCCTGAGCTGGTCCTCACCTGTACTGCTCCAGTAGCTGAACCCTGACCTCTAACCCCTGAGCTGGTCCTCACCTGTACTGCTCCAGTAGATGAACCCTGACCTCTATCCCCTGAGCTGGTCCTCACCTGTACTGCTCCAGTAGCTGAACCCTGACCTCTAACCCCTGAGTTGGTCCTCACCTGTACTGCTCCAGTAGCTGAACCCTGACCTCTAACCCCTGAGCTGGTCCTCACCTGTACTGCTCCAGTAGCTGAACCCTGACCTCTAACCCCTGAGCTGGTCCTCACCTGTACTGCTCCAGTAGCTGAACCCTGACCTCTAACCCCTGAGCTGGTCCTCACCTGTACTGCTCCAATAGCTGAACCCTGACCTCTAACCCCTGAGCTGGTCCTCACCTGTACTGCTCCAATAGCTGAACCCTGACCTCTAACCCCTGAGCTGGTCCTCACCTGTACTGCTCCAGTAGCTGAACCCTGACCTCTAACCCCTGAGCTGGTCCTCACCTGTACTGCTCCAATAGCTGAACCCTGACCTCTAACCCCTGAGCTGGTCCTCACCTGTACTGCTCCAGTAGCTGGACAGCCTGGTGCTCCTGAGGATGTCTCCTCATGTGGCTCTTCAGGCTGTTCATGTTGGTCGTGGCAAAGTCACAGCTGCAGCACCTACAGTACCAGAGAGTGGGCCAGAGTTAGAGGGAACATCTCTGTACAGGCCTAGTTGTTTGACAGTTTATGTTGCGCTTGGCTCTTTATGCTCTGTTTACTATTCTGTTGTTTCGGCTGGTAGAGCAGGAAAAGCCTGGAGGGCCACATTGTTGTCTTGACGGCTATTTTGTTGCGTGGCTAAGCTCAAAGTGTAGCTGCCAGCACAATGTTCAGAGATGCGAGACACTGTGTGGCTCAAATGGATAAGATGGCCTTGGTTAAAAGGCATGTGCTTCTCTGTGGAGCGGTTTGAAGTGAGTCAAGGATACCAAAGCATAAGGGTAGAAAGACTACACTCCCCTGCATGAAAGGGCTCTATTGAGGGTCTATAGTGGGAAAACATCAAAACAAACGATGTGTGTGTGTGGCCTTAGAGAATAAGATCCCCCACGCAGACATCTGACGCCGCCTCGAGAATGTGTGTACACACAGAACAGGGCAGATCCGCTTACACGGGTGCTGCAGTGTGAGAAATACTCCAGCTGTAGACTCCAAGGTTGACCTTTACCTAACACTCACTGCCCCCTGCTGGAGATCTGTATCATAACATGTACATTCTATTTTATTAATGGTTTTGAGTGAGCAATAGGATTATGTCATCGGTAACATGGAAAGAGGTGAATATCTGGATTACTAAAATGAACCTAGCCTAGTTTGAGCGGTATCATCTGTTGGGCAGCAACAGCACGCAGCTCTCAACTGGGTTGTCACGTGGAGCACCTCACAGGAGAACAACACCGGTAGACAATAGGGTGGGTAGGTAGGAAAGACGTTTCAACTTATATCTACCTGTGAATGCTAACTAAGGCAACAATGTACCGCAAACAAGGTCCGAAGTCTTGGTTGAATCTTTGCGATGCGCAAATCAGTCATCATGGGATGTTTGAATGAAAAAACAAACAAACAAACCTTCCCAATTAAATGGTGACTGCAAAGTAGGCCTGCCTGGCAGAACGATATCATGATGATTACTATCAATTCATTTGTTTTGCAAACTCTGCCATCACATGTAGGCTACACTGTAGGCCTACATTGTACAGCATAGAAACACCACTAAGGTCTCTTGCTAGGTGCACAATTGAATAAAAGGGCAACTACAACCTCCCCAAAATATTTACCACACCTAAAGAATTGTCTACTGATGTGGTTTAAGCATTGTGGTGGAATTAGAACATCCAATTGTTGTTTTTTTCTATAAAAAAAAGTGATTGAGAGTTAAAACCTGAACAAATTCGGAAACCCGGAAAAACTAAAACGGAATTAAGCAAATTATTAAACTGATTTTATAGGGCCCTACAACTGTAGCCTGCTGACTTGCTAACAATAACACCCTTTTTGAGATAGGTTAGGTTATTATAGGCTAGCTTGCGCATCCCACAAATTAATGATAAAATCACCTGATATTGCAATTATGCATGCATCATCCACTATCCTGTGAGATCTTGGCCCAGGACAGTATTTTCTTTCAATTCAGGCCAGTAGCTTTGAGTTGGCACTGGCCTGGAGTGCCACTGGCAAATTTACCTGAATGTCAAGTCCTAAGGAATCCAAATTGCAATCATGATGAATCCTATCGACATGATAAAACACACAGACGGTAGACACACAGCACCAACCTGTAAGGCTTGTCAGAGTTATGGATCCTCCGGTGGTTCCGAACACCAACGTACGTGGAGCTGGTGTAATCACACACATCACATTTGTACACCTTCTGCGAACTGATGGAGTCTGGAGAGCAGAACAAAAGTACACTCATGAAATATCGTGGACAAAAGATGAGGTGGCAATAAAATAAATAATATCAAAATGGGTAGTGGAGAGGATAATAGGTGAGAAACAGTATTTGATTTAGAGTAAAAAGACTGATCATGTTTGGTCAAGTTGAAAAATACACTTAGCGCAACGCTCACCATTAAAAACATTTTATTCAAGCTTTTTTATTCAAGGCTTGACTGTTCTGATGAAGGCCATTGATGAAGGCCGAAACGTCAAGCTTATAACAGTTGCTTAAATAAAATACATTTTTAATGGTGAGCGAGCGTTGCCCTTGTTACTTTTCAATTAATAAAACATTTTTGGGTTGCATCTCACGTTGGTTGAGAGCCCTCCCCTTCTTTCCATTGAAAAATACATTTAACACATTTCTCACCATCATCTGTCATCTTTTCAGATTCCTCCATGGTTGCCGTGGTTTCAGTGACAGGGGTTAGTGTTGCGTTGGCGTCGCCCAAACCGTGCTGGTCTCTCTCGTGGTTCCTCAGCTGACTCTGTGGAAAGGGTCAGTAATAAAACCACCAACAGTAGAAACTTAACTTAAAATAGATCTTCTGGGGCTGGAAAAAGCACACAGGCTACCCTCACCTCTCCAAAATTATCTCTGGAGTCCGAAACCCCACAGAATGTTATGATGGACTTAATGTCTGCAGAAACGGGCGAGGTGTCTCATGAAAGTAATGAAATCAATAGGCTAGTTCTCTACTCCCTGAATCAAACTAAACTTCCCCTACTGCACTGCACCAACCAGCACTATGCTGCAGACAAACTTCCATCTCAACTCTCACTTCTACAATCAATTCATCTTATCTTTATGACTGTAATTTGGGTCATCGAGAAACAAAACCTCTAGAGCAATATTCTGTCCTAGAGAAGGAGCCGCTTCAATAATACATTTCTGCCCAGGGACATTGAGGCACATAGTCTGTCCTAATTTCTCTCTCTCCAGTCCTTCTACTCACTTTGTAATAGAAGGCGTCAGTACACTGCTTGCAGTGGTACATCCTGGTCTTGCAGTGGTTGATCATATGGCTCTCTAGATCTTTGCTGTCTGGGGCAATGTGTTCACAGATGGGACACTGGTAGGGCTGTCTTTGGCGGTGTACTCGCAGGTGCTGCTTGATGTAGCTCTTATTCCCGCTGCTGTAGCGACACAGGCGACAGCGGTAGGGCCTCTCGCTGCCAGGGATGTAGTCCACCAGACCTCCACCAGGGTTACCTGGGTCCCCCCCATACACAGCCGCTGACCCCCCCAACGTGCTGGCTCTGGGCGTTGTCCTGGAGCTCCTTCAGGATGTCCTCGTCCGAGGCGTTCTGGTCCGAGCGCTCCTTCAGCCTCTCTATGACCGTCAGCAGGGACAGGCTGATGCCAGCCTTGGCGGGGCCCTCGGCCAGCCCGTCCTCTCTGGACCCCTGCAGTTCCAGGTCTACCAGGGCTGCCCCAACGCTACCCATGCCAGCCAGCTCCTCTACCGCTGCAGGGGCTCTGTCGGTTGCTACTGCTACAGCTGTGGCCATCTCCAGGAGCTTCTGGCCCGTGTCAGGGCTCTGGGAGCACTGGCCCACGATGCTCCTGATGTGCTCCATGGTCCTCATGGGCATGGCCACCAGGGCTTCAGCAGCCAGGGAGTGCAGCCTCAGAGACTCAGAGTGGGTCCTTCTGCGGGCTGGGGGAGCGTTCTCGTCACGTGGAGGGTCAGTGTTGGTCTGCTGCCTCTCACTGTTGCTCCAGCCAATCACCACCTCCTGCTGCCCCTCCTTGTAAGCAAACATTGGCTGGTTCTCCACATGGCTCGCCTCCTCTGCAGCCAGCAGGCTCTTGTCTCTGCCCACCTCTGGGCTGGGGAGGAGGGGGAGGGGCTGGGTGGCCACAGGTTCCTCTGCGCAGGGCAGTCGCTCCACTATGACGTTGATATGGCCGGCACTGTTGGGGCTGCAGCTGATGATCTTCTGGGCTGACGACAGGAGGCTGTCTGTTGTGCTGGTAATTTGACGACAGTCCTGCAGAAGTTCCAACCTCCGTCTCTGTGGTCACCTGTACCTCCAACATTGGCTCCTCAGTGACAGGGTCTTTAGAGGGATACGGCCCCTCCACTGGGCTCTCCTCTGTGATTGCTTCTGTCATGGCCTCATTCCCACACTCCGCCACAGGGGCACAGAGCTCGATCTGGAAGGTGGACATCTTGTTGAGGTTCTGGGATTTCTCTGGTACCGGGGTGAGGACCACTATGGCTTCCTCTGCAGGAGGAACCACAGGAGGTGCTGGTGCTTCTTGTCTGGAAGGTGCCACTGCCTCGTCCTCAAAGATAGGGTAAGAACAGTCCACCAGACCTGCGTGCTTCCATGCATGGGTCTTTAGCATTCGCTGCTGTCCACACACATAGCTGCAAATCAAGCAGCGGTACATCCCATACTCCTCATAGCTGTACCACTTCTTCTTAGCAGGGATCTCCTCAGCACAGTCCATGGCTGTTTTGAACACAGCCTCCTCCACACTACCCCCCATCCCTAACCCCTCATTCCTCTCGCTGGCCTGCTGGCTGGATACAGGATTCTTGTTAGAGTTGCTGCCCTCAAAGTGGAGCCTGACGTGGGCCTCTAGCTCCTCCTGGTGGCTGGAGGTGAAGCGACACTCAGAACACATAAGGATGAGGTCACTGTGCTGCTCATCGTGCTGCCGCAGGTGCTCCTTCAGCAGGCTCAAGGTCGGGGACAGGAACCGACACAGGCTGCACTGGTAACAGGTGATGGTCCTACTGCTGCCAGCAGGGGCACTGTTGACTGGCTGGATCTCCTCCTCTTTCACCTCTTCCTTCAACTCCCGGGCTCTCTTGCAGGGGGAGGACCCACCACTGCCCTCCCTGATCTCTGGGACTCTGATGGAGGCACAGGACATGAGAGCCCTCTTCTTCCCAGCCAGGGTGCATCGACGTGGGCGCTTCTCCACGATCTTGCTGAGCTTCTCGATCACCTCGATGAGGGAGTCTGCGGCCTGTTTCTGCTGCTGCCTCTGGTCGTCATCCCCAGGCCCAATCAGGGTACCTGGGGGCGTTTCCACCCTTTCAGGGATGAAGACAGTCTCCTGTTGGCCTCTAGAGTGGGGGACCAGGATGGAAACTCCACTGCTGTCCTCCATGCCTGGAGAAAACAAAACAAGCCTGTTAAACTACCAAATCAGCTTGGCATGCATAGCACAGAAATATGATCATGGCTAGTAAACTCTTAATGTGTCTCTTGCAAATATCATATTGCTCTCTTTGGAAATGTGCTTCTTTCCACAAACAAATGTTGGCTAAATCTGTTTAGGCTTCCACTGAGCAAGAAACCTGTTGTGTTACTAGGTTCATGACCTGGCTGGGGCAGTGTGCAAAACACAGCAGGGGTCACAGAGTACACACCGAGTACAGTACTGAACTTGGAAAGTCCCAATCAGAGTTATTTAGTTTTACCATTCCTAAATCCAAGAATTCTATTTCATAGAAAACACTGTGGTAATTCAGTCAAGCAGATCAAGGATGAATTATTATTTACCAGTGCCACATTAGAGGAAGATATTATTGTGGTTAAGCACATTAAGTCTGCAATTGGTACCACACTTTCCCCTTTCTGACCGCAATCCAGGTTCCCTTTTCTTTGGGTTCTGCATTTAAGGAATAGCCTATGCCTAAATATCCCTGAACTTTCTCCAGTACTGTACTACCTAGTGTTCCTTCTGCAAAAGTGACAAAGGCCTTGGGTAGGCAAAAAGCAGTTTGCACAATCCACAAACTGCGGTATATTAAGTGATTGTTCAAATCAAAGAGATTCAAATAAGATTAAGGTTTTAGCTAGGGTTTGGTGGCCAACTTGTTAACTGCCCACTTTGGCTTAGTAGCTAGCTAACTAGTTGAACGGGGACATCGATATGTGTGCATTACTAGGGAAACCTGCCCTCTCTGACAGAACAGGCCTAAAAATAACATTTCATTCACCGAGGCGTGGATGGTTGACTCTGCCTCTGGCTAGTTCACGAAATCAAAATAATGATCTGTAAAACCTTATAGCTAAATGGCAGGTAACATAGCCACAATAATCGCACAGGTGTGTCGAGAACATGGAGTCCAACGCTAGAGATATGCATTCTTTATCTGGAAAAAAAGGCGCAGGACATGCACTGTACATGACAACAAGCCAACCAATTGAAGCTAAGCTAACTTAGCAAGCTAGGACACGAGTCTCTCACACAACACACTGTAAAATACATCTAGCTATTTCATTGGCTTCTCGTTTAATAAATGTCAAAGGGTCATGCGACTTTTATGTGTTGGTTAGCTAAGTACTTACTGATCCGGCAATTCTGAATGATCTTTGGCCTCAAAACATAAAAAACGATGCTTTATCCTTTAGCAGTAAAAAGTGGCCTCTGTCTCTCACACTGCAAAATGGCGAGGATGGAGCACGGATCACGTGACTCAAACCAAAATGGTCAGGTGACCAACATGGAATCCGTAATTTGAGACAATTCCAGAGATCCACCAAAAAATCCACTGAACAGTTACTGACAGAATTGGTTTATGAGTATGTAATATGTGTGAATTCACAAGTTATATAACTTTGTATAATGCAACTAAGAACAAAATGTAAACGCATATCAAATGGAGGTAAAGTGCAGGTGCAGCTATGTCACTGAGAAGCTCATGTTCAATGTGCTATGTAGTGTATAATGACCTTAATTTCTCTCCCAAATATATTTTAAATCTGAAACATGATCTTCTTCAACTTCTATTCACCATTCATCCTACTAGTTTGTGTAAATCTGTAATTGTACAGCGCTCATTGGTGTTAACATGATCAAATACTGCCATCTAGTGCTTGTTAAATGACATTGAAAAGCTTGTTCAATCGCTTGCATGCCAATTAATTTACCAATCGCATAATGTTTGGTTTGTATTCCCATTGTGATTGGTGCTTGGTCCTTAACCCAGGGTTGTCCAAACTCGGTCCTGGGGCCCCCCCTGGGTGCACGTTTTGGTTTTTGCCCTGGCACTACACAACTGATTCAGTAACCAACTGATCATCAAGCTTTGATTATTTGAATCAGCTGTGTAGTGCTAGGGAAAAACCCAAAAACGTGCACCCAGGATCGACTTTAGGAAACCCTCCCTTAACCCATAGTAGGCCATTAAAATATATTTAAAAACCTCCTTCATTAATTTCTCTGTATAACTTGACCACCTTGACATTGTTTGCACACCGCCATGAAACACCAAAGAAGAGGAAGACGACTTTAAATCCTAGTGCCGAAACGCACTAGGATTTTTAACAAAAGGCAAACTTTTATACATTTCCACTGTCCTCCAAGACTTGCTGAATATCTTCAATTCATACTTGTAATGGTAGGCTACACAGTTTATGGAAAGCTGTTTTAACATATATTAATTGCATTTTTTTATATCAAATTCAGTTATCAATATCAATAATTCTAATTTTTGATAATAAATGTTTTTATATAATCAAATATACGATAATGACCTTCATGGAGGCGGGATCACATTTGCATGCTCCTGATAGGTTCTCTGCTCCCACTGACAGATAGACAGGAAGACACAGGTGAGCAACATGGCCGGTGCATGGCCGGTGCGCCACTTCCTTATAAATCATGCAATACTTAATTGAAATTCAAGGAACATTTGGAACTTAACTTCCATATTTAAGCAAAATATTTTGTTTTTCATACAAAAACACTACCTAGTTTAGGAAAGTTGCACCCGAATGTATTTTGAGAAACACGTGATCCAGCCGGAAATGTGGAATGGAATGGTCCAATGGAAATGTGAGGGCAAGGAGAGAGGTAGTCATTAAACGTGGTGCCTTCAATTTTGTAGGCAACTCCACGCACATTTACAAAAAACCTAAACGTCCCTTGTCTGTCACAAATGTTGAATACAATTATATTTGAACTTACTCTGCTGATTGTCTGTGGTCTTGGTCCTTCAGCTGGTCGAAATGTTAGACAAAATATCCACAGGAAAGCATTATTAAAACGCAGGTCTATGTGAGTGGCTATCAAGTACATGCATGCAATGCAGGCATACTAACAGGTTTTTACATGGTTTTGTGCATGTGCCAGGTGATAGAAATTTGAACTTCAGTAACAGAGCTCTAAAAAGTCGGGTAAACAATACTTTGCTGTGGATATTTTTTCTCAGATTTCGAGCAGCTAAAGGACCAACCGCACAGACGACCGGTAGAGTAAGTTCAAATATAATGTTTATTAAACATGCTGGCTTGTAAGGAAAATGTCCACGATTTTGCAGTGCTTTATTTCAGACTGTATACCAAGAATCGGTATCAAAGTCTGATTTATTAGGCAAGGTGAGAGGATGTGTCGTAGCTGAGGCGGTGTGTGAAAACAGCCAGGTGCAACTTTGCTAAACTGCGCTCATGAAGTGTATATTTGTATTTGAAAGAGTCTTTCTCACTTATATGAAAGTTAAGTTCCAAAGGTTTCCAAAACTGTATTGCTAATGAGGATTAATAAAGTTTCTAAATGTTAAAACAGAGGATTGGGATTGCAGTTTATTGATCCAGCTGTGGTCCATACGTTCAATTGAGAACTCAAGCGCTGGGTATACCCCCTTTGAGTTCTTGAGAGCTAGCTACCCATGTACACCACCGTCACATATATTTGCACAGGCCTATCCCATATCAATGTGATACCATGTTATATGATAAACATTGTTATTCCATTTCAAACATCAGATGGCCCATCTCTTTGAAAAACATCATCTCGATTTTCAAATGAGGGAATAAGAGGGACACATTACATGGATTTGTTATTAACCGTAATACTACCAATAAACAGAGTCGCTGTGGAGAAGGACTGTGGACACCTGAAGTTGCTGGTCAAGGGCTGGGTCCCCATGCTGTTGGGTGAGTTTTTGAATAGCACCATGGAACCACTGCAGCAGCGAGACATCCATAGGGTGAGTGAACATAGTCTACGTCACATGGGTCTGGGTACCCCTATCCAATCCCTGGACAGCAGGGCCACGCATTATTACATAGAATAAAACCTAAACGTCACTTGTCTGTCAGGAATGTTGAATACAATTATATTTGAACTTACTATACCAATTGTCCGTGGGGTTGGTTCTTATATAAGAACCAACCCCACGGACAATTGGTAGTTCAAATAAAATTGTATTCAACATTTGTGACAAACAAGGGACGTTTAGGTATTTGTCAATGTAATCAGGGTTGGGGTCAATTCCATTACGTTTCCAGTCAATTCAGAAAGTAAACCTAATTCAATTCCAAATGTTCTTCATTGAAAGCATTGAAGAGAATAAGAATTGGAATTTCAGTGTACTTCCTGGTTTGACTGGAGTTGAAATGGTATTGACCCCAACCCTGGTAATAATGCGTGACTCTGCTGTCCAGGGATTGGATAGCATGGTCACGTCGGGACTACCCGATGTGGTGTTCATTCAGTGTATATCTATTTCCCTTGAGCTTCAGGTAAAATATGGATGAAATCATTTGAGAGTGTGTGGGGTTTTGCATGCTGCAGACGAAGGCCTGGTCTCAGGGTCCAGCCAATCCAGTGATGTAGTGTCTCAATGTACTGGGCTGAGCATAGTGCTGGTGATCACTAGAGAGAGACGTTCATACAGGGCTAAGGAGAGAGGACGTGAGTTGGTCCAGTAATGCCTTGGCTGGATTTATTGTTTTAATTAAATTTCCATGTCTTTTATCATACACTGTTTATGGTGGTGATTTGTCCACTGTATGGCTTTGTTTGTAGAGCCACAATTGTATTATTTTGAGGGCTTCCTTGGTTTAGTGTGGTTGCTACAGTATGTTTACTGTTGTCTGAAACCTACGGCTATGTCAAGAATCGACTCCAGCAAATCAGACCTAACCAATACCCACCAAGATTTACTGTCCATGCATGATGTTTACCTACATTTAGCTGCTGCTTGGTTGTTAATTTGGTAGCCTACACACACAGCCATATGTGCTCCACCGCCATAATAAACGAGTTCAGAGTTACACAGTCCATCTGACCCCCTTTATATTAAATAAATAAGGGTATGTCATGGGCTGCTTATTATTAATATCAATCTGACAGTGAAGGGGGGTGCCATTAGAGGT